CATTCTAAAATTTATTAGAAAAATTCTGCTCGTTTAGTGCCGAAAAGCAGCATATTTAAACAGCCACATTAAATGTTTTTTTCTGCGCGCTCTAAAATTTTACCAATTGATTTCCATCTGACATTGATGCCATGAAGCGATTTCTGTAAGTGATGCTGATAATTTGGCACTCACTGTTTATCCCTCAAATCATCACATATTGTGTTAGAGGTTCATTTGAGTAAGTAGATGATGAAAGGACATTTAAATATCCGAGGACACAAGAAAATTTTTAACCGGTCTTTTACTCGCAAGGGTAGACGGTCATGATAAGGCTTTCACAGATGTACCATGCTACATAATAATTAGAGCCTCGTCAGTGAGAATCTGCGCCAGACAGTGAGGCAGGAAGTGTTTTTCAAATACACGCTCAACAGACAGAGGCGAGGTCAAGACGACCTCAGCTTTCTAGTTTAGAGATGAGGGAAAAAGCCTTGGGGTCATCAGGTGCTCCTCCGTGCGCCTGCAGGCTCCTCTCCGAGATGAAAGACAACTACTGTAACTCACACACATTAATTGAACAGTGACAAACATCCATAAACCTTTACCAAATCCCATGACATATCAGCATCAGAAACTGCCACTGATGCATAAATGTGCATCTGTGGAATAAAAAGGAAAATTAGATGCAACCAATAAAAAAATTAAAGACCTGACATTCCTTTAAGGAGTGGTTATTGTGTATCAATAGAAATCATCACATGCTGAGAGATTATGGAGTTGTAGCTGTTTTGGTTAAAAACAGAATATTCATGCTCTGTATGTGCTGTGAGCAATGTGTAGCTACAACCTCGGCAATTTTCAGTTCAAAAGTTGCAACATTCAGACTTGCAGCCATTTTTTTGTTGACCAATATCAATTAGCAGTGGTGGACTCCAAACATTTATCACTAGCCTATGTGTTTCTAATGTTTATAGAAGGCAAGTTCAAAGAAACTTTGTTGACTGGTTAATGAGATATTTTGGGAGCAGACATTATCACACACAGATATAGGTACAAACATTTTCTGCTTTTTGGTAGGCGGTCATCACAAGGCTTCCTTGAACTGAACTTCTGAAGATGGTTGCTTATATTCTGAATGGAAATATCTTCTTTAGAATGTTATTTACTTGCTGTGTATACTCACTGACCCAAAAAATTAGGTATACCCTGAAGAATTGATGCGATTTTGGTATAAATGGACGGGCATGCAAATTATTCCATTTTCAAGGAACTGCCACGTCTAGAACGAGCACCAAAGGGCATGAGTGGTGAGATAAGTGTTATCAGGCAGGTGAAAGTCTGTCAGATGGTCACCACACACAGAATGCATTACCAGCACTCAGCAGGGTATGATAGGAGCTGCATTATGGTTTGCATGAGGTCAGGCAGCAATGGAGGCATGTCGAGGGTACGGATATGTTAAAAACAATGCAGCATCCAAACACCTCCTGAAGGATTAGACAGACCACAACAAGAGAGGATCATTGCTCGATGTGTGAAGGATTACAGAATCCCATAAGAACCTCATCTGCTCTCTGGACCCAGGTATTGGACTCTTTACAACACTTTCCGTAATCCCACACTGTGTCTGGCTTCAGCTGAGCTGGAGTACAGGTTTACTGTCCCATGCGTTTGCTGCCATCAAAATCAGAGCAGAGAATGCTGCATTCGGAGTAAAAGTGTATACTGTTGAATAACGTTCAGCAGTGATCTATGGATTACCCAGTGGTGCAGACAGAAATGAGTTGGGGTAGGTGTTTTTGCATAGTCATTAGGTACTTTAAACAGAAGTTTAAGTACTTTTGAGGAAGAGCAAGAGCGTTTTGGTCAAACCAAAAAATTTGATTTTGCAGCTATCGTACAAATCTGAAGCAAAAAAAAAAAAAAAAAAAAAGAGTGAATAGAATTATGGGTATTTTTCTTGTATGTGACCAATCTAAAGTCCACAAATGTCTACTAACTAAATCACTAAAAAGTTTCTTTTTTTTTTGTGTGGACTGATTTAATGGGAAACCCCACTTTGGATACTGCTGATCTATAAGAACATTACTAAAACATGAGTAGAAGACACAGTCAAAGTCCAAATGAAACTGGAAAACTGCGGATCTAGAACACTTTATAAGTAAAAAGAAAGAAAATATACATAAACTAAATGATTTGGCCAGAAATATTTAAAGTTGCCTGAAAAGTGCTTCGCAACGAAGCTTCAGCCTCCGTGCACCTCCGTCTACCTTCGTCTTTGGACGGCTGCACTGAAATGTACAGATATTTTTGTTGTATTTAACTGTGCAATGACAATAGAGTTGATTCTGAAAATACATGGATTTTCATTAAAGCCCAGCAGAAATGTCCGATAACCTTTGAACACATGCATATTTTCAGTGTGTAAATATTTCATCTTTAATTTTGTAGTTTGCACACTTGCCTTTCGTTACCACTGTAATGTAAATACAGTTAGTAAATTCTGCCCCCCCCCTTCAAAAAAGAGAGGTACATTCTGTCCAACCAGAAGTGTATGTGCTTAAAATTAAAATATTTTGTATTTATGCAAATTTTATCTTTGCTTTGCAGCTGCCTTGGCTGCATTTCTCCTCAGGGATCAATGAAGTTCATTTTAATCTTCACAAAAACCTTCTTACAGCTTCAAGACAGTTTTATTCTGCGCAGAAGTTATGAAGAAATCACGGTAATACCCATTTGCAAATCCTGTACAACCTACCTTGCCAGCAGTCGTTGCAAACCTGAAAGTGAGATACATTGGATGTGACGTAAATGAGCCATGAATAAAGAATTGGGCTCGGCTTGTTTTGTTGCCATGCTTCATTTCCATCCACAAACCTTATGGCTATTGTTAGGCTTCAGCACAGCGAAGAAGGTCTTCTCCATTTACAGCTTACAGACACACTGAAGTTTTATCGTGAGAAATAATGAAAGATTTTTTATCTGCAGATGATAAGAATGTGGAAAATCACTGAAGCTCTTCAATCACATCAACTGAGACGCCCTTTTCCTTCACATGCAAAATCATTTTCTTGCCGAGCCTTTAATCACTTTGCTTTGCTCAGTTTGTCCGTTGATTGTGAGATGCTTGTAAACAAAAATACACACTTGAAGCATGAAAAAATAAGGTAAACATGCTGAGATATGCCAATACCGTGGTTTTGCAGAGAAAGTTACAAATATCTGTTGACATGAAAAAGCAGGGCCAACCTTGACAGATTTAGTTTCGTTTTATAATTGCCTCCTATCTCGCTGATCTGCTGCAGCCATATGTCCCAGAGCACTCGCTGAGGTCAGCAGACCAGATGCTTTGATTGGTTCCAGGCACTCGTTTTAAGCTAAGAGGTGACATGGCTTTCACTGTTGCAGGTCCAAAACTGTAGAATGAGTTACCACTACATGTCAGGCAGGCTCCCTTTCTTACTGTTTTTAATGCATCTTTTCCATTAGTACCATTAGTACCGGTACAGCATGGTTCCATTCGGCATGGTATGAGTTGTTTCCATTATACTTTCAGTAACCGTTCTAGTGGGCGGGTTCAGCTCGGAGCCCGCAGGAGCCCCGGACTCGTAGGCTCTTGTGGGTCGGCAGCATGGAGGATCCCCCGCGGTGACCGGCAGAGCTTGGAGCTGAGGAGATGACGCCCTAGCCTGAGGGGGCTCCGAGGCTCAGGTGGAGAGGACCCGGGAGGGGAACCAGCGGAGCTCCATCTAGTTCACTCTGATGAATTTTGTCATCAGCCACAAAGCCCCCAAAAAATGCCTGTACTTCAGTATTAGACCACGGTGTTGTTATCATCGTTTTTCAAAATATTAAAAATAGGTCCAGTCGCTCCGCGAGTTAATGCAAATGGCGAATTGTTGTTGTGAAAGTTTCTCAAACAACCAGTGACTCCACCTCATGACCAATCAGTGAGCAACAGTGTTCTGATGTCATGTTTTAAGGCTAGTACGGAACGGTTGGAACCCCAGAGTAAAAAAAGGGACTGGAAAAGGGGCTGGTTCCACAAATAATTGCCAGTGGAAAAGCCTTGGAACCGTACCGAGTCGAACTGCGCTGTACAGTTACTAATGGAAAAGGGGCTTTAGTCTAATTTGAACACTCACTTTTATTCCCTGGCTTTTGACACTGTATGAACTTATTTTAACTTTGTATTCTACAGTATAATGTTAGCCATTTAGTGCGTATCTTTACCCCTGTATGATCCATGTATTTAATCCCGTGTCCTTTGCTTGTTTGTTTTTGCTGTACAGCATTTTGGTTGGCCTTGTTGCTGTTTTTAAGTGCTTTATAAATATAGTGGGATGGTATATTGAATTTGACTTCAGTTGGTTTAATCCTTTTTTGTGTGTAAAAACACTTTAGACACAAACATGATCCTCATTAAAAGCCTAGCTTTTTTTATTTTGAAGAAATGCATATATTGCATGATTTATTAGCGCTTGGACGATGTGTTGTGTGAACGACTCTCAGCTACTACCAAGTGAATGTCAGTTCACTAGATATAACCATTTTTGTGCAGGCTAAGTCATCTAGTCGAGTTGGCCATCTGAGATTATATCGACTCCAAAACCAGTCGTACCCACTGCTTACGTTCTGAACGTTTCTTTAATTTCTGTTAAGTGATTTGTGAGATATTTCGCCAACTGTACGGACAGGACAAACAAACATGCACACACACACACACAAGGCTTTATCGTTCTGCCTTAGGCAATAACTGTTGTAAAATAGATTCAATGAAGGACGTCTTTAGTTAACACCGTTATCTTAATCTTTATTTTGTCACAATTGTATGTCAAATATATATACGCCTATATGACATATATTATATGACATATATAATTTCATTTCTTTACAATAGAGAAACAACATAGAGATGACACACTATTTTGGTTTCTAAGTAGAAGCTTCTTTTAAATAGTGATTTCCCCCCCTCCCCCACCCCCCAGTACACCGTTTAAATCAAGCTCCCACTCGCTGTTCGTTTTCCTTATTGAGTCACATTTATTCACAATGTGTGTTTGTTTGTCTGTTTGTGATTTAATGTCTTTTGCGTCAAGCTTTTTTTGTCCCCTCCTTCGTCTCTGCAATTCAATCTGATAATCCTCCTTCAAAAATCGATACCCTTCTGTTATTGGTCCACGCGGCCACACAGATGGTCCCACCGCCAAACCATTCGGAGCCACATGTGAAGGTATCCAGTTATTAGAAACGGTGTCTTTGAAGCTTCACAGAGTTAATCCAATCAGCTCGCAGAGGGCTTGGCAGAAGTGTTTCCAGTACCTCTGCAGCTGGGGCCTTGGGCAGCCAGGAAGCAGTTTGCGCCTCCGTTTGCGAGAGATGCCTGACCTTGGAACTGTCCCTGGACTTCTTTTTGGCCCGCTGCCTTCAGACCTCTGGTGTGCAGAGCTTCAGCTGAATATCGGATGAGTTTCCCCTCCGACTCCTGCACAGTCTCACCTTCGAGAGTGTTTGTGCCACCGTGATGGACCTTGCTGTGAAATCCAGATGTGTTTTTGTGGCTTGAAAAGCCTTTCGGTTTTGTGTCTCGCACAATTTCTGCAGAAACTTCGACAGAGCAGGGCGCCTGTGTGAGGTTCTTCTCCGGTGGGGCGCCAGCGCTGGAGGGCGAAGCTCCGTTCACCAACTCAACAGTCTCACGCTGAGACGGAGAATCGCTAATGCGCCGTCTTGGGTTTACAGCTGGCGGAGGTTGCCACTTGAGAAACCCCACTTGGTTCTGGTCGCTCGTGTTAGTGGGGTCAGCCGCCTTGGGGTCACATGCTTGGAGCGATGGGATGATGGGCACGGAGCAGGTGCGCAGGGATGGCGGTGGGGATTTTGATCCTTTGTCTAGGCGGGTGCAAGGGACCTCAATCCATCCTTTTCTGGCAGTAGCTTTAGAAGGAGAGGTCCTGTTGAGGAGGGCGCCGACCCGTCTGCTGGATGAGTCACAACTTTGGGGAGAAGAGAGAAAGAAACATGAAAGCTTGTGAACAACAACAACAACAACAACAACAACAACAACAACAACAACAACAACTTAGAGCACAGCCTTTTCATAAAAAAAAGTTATTACAAAAAAAAAGAATAAAAAATATTGAGCTCAAATTGTCATATTGATGGTCAATGTGCTCGTTAAAAAAAAAAAAAAAAAAAGCAAAATTTGCAAACAACTGCCAACTACTGAGTGTTTTTAGCTAAAAACGAAAAAAAAAAAATGGTGAAAGTGACTGAAAATCTCAACAATGACGACGTCCATGGGAAGAACCATTTGGGATTTTGAAGTCCAACTATTTGAATGCAATTGGTACATATATACGCAAACAGGCTGTGTTTATGTTGAGTGCATACCTGCATTTTTTAATTGCACATCATTATATTTAGGAAACTACTGAAGGTATTTTGTTCAAACTGTACAATTTGAAAAACGGTCAAAATAGCACTTGTAGGTTTTATTTTATAGTTTGCAATGAGCACCTTTAAAAATGAGTTCTGCCATTTCTTTAGAGCTTGGCGTACAAGTTGTGACCAACTCTCAGCGATTATACCAAATTCAATATGTTTGAAATGAAGGCGATCTAGATATTTGTGCGTTAGCTGTGGGGGTAATATAGAATTGAATTGTGCCGACTCCAAAAGATAATCAGCTGTATCTCCCCACCTCTGCCTTCAGAGCTGAGTGATAAACACACACAAATGCAACACTCGTTTTATCCATTTTATTCCAGTTTGATTAAAAAAAAAAAATCACAACAATATAATGATTAGTTATTGTTCTTTTGTAATCTTTGAGTAATTATTTATGATTCTCAGCGTGAGCAGCCTTGTTTGTTTCTGCATGAATGTTGAACAGAAAAATCCCTTCTCTCATGACTGCCTTTTAAGTCTGCCTTATCAAACTTTTAAAGCTTCAGAAGCGTCACAGCAGGATTCCTTACTCTGCCTCGTACAGATATGCACGCGGACATGTTATACATACCAGATTATTGCTTTGCACTGTGTTCTAATTTTAGATTAGGAGATGAGGCTCATTAAACTGACATTGTCTGAAAGTATAGGCACAGTCAGTTTGAGGGTGGATGTAAGTTTATGAGGAAATGGAAGAATCTCAACTGATGCATTTTAACGGCGCTGCATGCTTCATCCGAGGAATAAAAGTTAGAAGTGGCAAGTACTGCAATTAAAAACGTTTGTAGTTTAAGGTATTTGGAATATTTTGGTTTTTTTTTTTGCCTTCCTGTGCTACTTTTAGGTTTTAGCTACCAGTCTACAATTTTTAGTTATCATTGCTTACTTTTAGCTTTCAGCCAGCCATTTGCTTATTAGCCTTAATATACTTTTAGCTTTAGTTTTTTGCTTCTCACATTTTGTTCCTTTTAGCCATTAAGTTTTTTTTTAACTTTTCGCTAACCATTTGCTTTTTGTAGCTTCTAGCCAGCATTTTGCTACGATTAGTTTTTAATTAATATTTCGTTACTTTTGGCAAGTCTTTTGCTACCTTTAGCTTATAGCCAAAAATCTGCTACTTTTAGCTTCTAGCCAGCCTGGTGCTACTTTGAGATTTTATCTAACATTTTACTATTTATAGGTTTTACTTTGCCTTTTGTAAGTTTTTGCCAGCTTTTTGCTACTTTTAACTTCTAGCCAACCTTATACTATTAATTTTGAAATAGTCTTGTTTAGCTCACCTTTTGCTACTTTTTTAGATTCTAGCAACCATTTTCATCAAATTTCAGCAGGCTCATTCAGAACTCAGTACTATATACAATACTCACTATACTCTTGTGGAACAGTACATTTCTCAAGCTTGTGTTTATAACTTTATTCAGTGGTCTACATTAAAATAAAATAATTGGTTTGTTATTATATTATTACAATAATGCTTATTTTTTTACATCATTAGAATAATGTCCAGTTTATTATTTATAATTATAATAATATTTAGTTTATTTTGTTTGTGAGAGCAAGTCCAACAGGAAGGTATCAAACAACTGCTTCATCTTGCAGTGAAGGGTGAAACACCTTGATTCTTTAAGGTCTAAGGAAGGTTTTGCTCAGGGTTTTGTTTGAAGTATTAACATGGCTGCATCAACCTAATCAATCATTGTTTCATAATCATCGCGCTGCCCTCTGATTTGTAATCATCTCGTAAGGTACCTAAAGTTCCTCTCTCATGGTACAAACTGTGCATTTGTTGAATATTTGCGCTCGAGAGCTAGTTTTTTGCTCGGGCACGCTGCCTTAGGAGACAGCCGGTATTATTGTGGGCCTTCTGAGGCTGTTTGTGGCATAACCAAGTTTATATAATTGAATTACTTCTCCACTCTCTTCTTGGTCTAAGCAGGACGAATACAAGCTGGAGGTAAATCCATCAGATCAAAACGCGCTAAAAATAACTCCCTGAACAAATTTGACTTCACTTCAGCCCCTCTCTCTCTCTCTGCAATGGGTAAATGTTTTGACATTGGATAATAAAACCGACTGACTGCGGGGATTTGTTGCCACATAATGGAAAACACAGAAGAGTATTCTCATGTTTGTTTACCATCTCCCTCTCTGTGTTTAGATTTTTTTTACGCCACGCCGCGCGATGAGCCTTCGCCTTCACTTCTCTGCACTCTTATCGTCCCTGCCCGCTCGTTCTCCTGTCCCCACTTTCCCCTCTCGCTCCTCCTTCTCCACCTCCCCGTTTCTCATTTCCAGAAGTGAGATGGTGTATCCATGGCAACATGGGAGACGTGGAGGCCGGAGGAGGAGGGGCTACCAGCTCGCCGTTCGTGTGTCTTGTAAGATTAGAAATGGGTCATTTCAGCCTCCCGAAGGCCAGCATTGGAGTGATGGATCTGGAAGGGAACTGTCAGCGGAGAGCGCTCTCTAAACTGTTTAATTGTACAACCGTAATTTTACCCCATAGATGACAAGTTTATTGTTTCAGCTCTTCTTCTAAACTCTGTGTGCGAGGCTTAATTGCCTTTAGCAACGAGTTTTTTCCTTTGTGATTTTGAAAAGAATCCTCATTAGTTTTCATTATTGGTTTATTTGTTATTCTGTATTAAGTGTGTGCAGTTGTGCATGCGTGTGTTAAGACGGGAGTTACTCCTGGAGGATCTTTCCCTACACAACCTTTTGAAAAAAAGAAAAAGAAAAGAAGAATAAATAAAAAAGAAAACTCCAAGGCTCCACGGAGCTTTGTTTAAAAATGTAAATTATGGAAATAGGTCACATGAAGAGTTTTGGCAGCTTGCAGAATATCTTACAAGTTGCTGAAATGCTCAGTCAGGACGACTTGCTAATAGGAACATCGCGCGGCTCTTTTAAGTGTGTGTGGAATACACGGGGGACGCTGCTGCTTTAATGACAGACGTTTCTGTTAACAGCGCCATCGCTCCAGCTGCACTCGCTGACAGCAAATTAGACTGTTTTTGAGTCTTATGCTAAACAGCACAGTTATTTAGACTTAAAGGTGCCCCGGTCTGTTTCTGTAAATAAAACTGGAAATAATTTTAATGTTTTCACTGTGCTTTTATTAAAGTGGAGAAGCTGCTTGACAATGTGCATTAATCTACCCGATAAGGCACGCAACCTCAGGAACCAGAATCTTTATTTGAATTCAAAAAGCTTTTTCTGTCCATGAGGAGAATTTCTTTTTTGATAATTAATGGCCTGGTAATCTTTGAATAAATGCATGTTGCCTGCAGCCTTTCACACAAGAATATTAGACTACCGTGTTTTTCACCGTATAAGTCACACCTTTTTTCATAAATTTGCAAGTCCTGTGACTTATACACTGAAGCGACTAATATACGTTTTTTCCCATATTTATAACCCAATTTTTGGCTGAGATCTGACGATTTTATTCATTCCGACATGGAAAATATTGAACACTACCATTTTCAGCCACTAGAGGGCCCTTGAGCAATATGGCAAGTCAAGTGTTTCATTAATAGGTATTAATTAGACACTTGACTTGCCATACCAAGCCACCTTCGTCTCGCTCTGGAGCTCGTAGAGCAAACGTCAAGTGCATTTATTAAGGAAAAGTTCAACTGAGACACACCTTTGCTATAATGTTGAGCAAACAATTGTTTTTAGGTGGTTATCTTGTTAAATTCTTGTTAAAGTCCTCTCGTGCATGCTCCCACGTCCATCATTTGGCAACCAATTGATTTTTGGCATAACACCGGCCCACGTTTCTGGGTAGTTAGCGGTGACGCATAACAAATGAGACGTGTCAGCGTTGACGCGTAATAGATGCGACTTATACGGCGAAGCGGCTTATTTATGTTTTTTTCCACTTTATTCGATATTTTTAGACTGATGCAACTTATACAGCGGTGTGATGTGTACGGTGGCAAGTACAGCAAGTTATTGCTGTTTTGGTCAAATCCAGTAAATAAAATGTGGTATTGCAAGATCTTGTTCTAGAGCTCAGAGAAAGTGTTCAAGATGACTTTCAGCTACTACCACACAAACTTTTAAGCTTAAAATTTATAAATCTGGCTGAGTTAAGAGACATTTTTGTGCTTAAGTTTGCTTAGCTATGGCGACCATCTTAAATCTCATTCAGTTTATTTATAAAGTGCCAAGTCACAGTAGAAGTCATCTCAGGACACTGCACAGAAACATCCATATACAAAGTAAGTTAACATTAATTATCTGAGGGGCAGACTGCTTTGAGTTTAATTTCATTACAGACTCATCTATATCAAGTCAAAGTGAGCTAACTCCAAAGTGTACTCTATTATAGACCCAATAATTACAATTGAGCATTTCATTAAATCCACTCTGTGGTCCAGGAGATATTTTGCTAACAGACAGGGTTGACAGCAATGTTTTAAAGAACAGGTCTCAGTTTTGTGTTCATTATACTGTATGTTTAGGTATAACTCTTAGCTACTACCACTCCAAACTTTAGCTTAGTAGCTGTAAATTGGACGAGTCATGGCTACTTTTGTGTAAGGTCGCCTAGACCATCTCGAATAACATTCATTCTAAAAGTTAATCAGTTCTAAAATGTACATTTAATAATTACATTCAAATCGTGAGCTATTTTGCTAACACTAGACAAAGAAACACAGACAGGCAAAAACATGCTTGGCGTCAGCAGCAAATGGTAAAACGAACTGTACTTATCTAGCGTCTTTCTATCTAATCAAGATAGTCAAAGCACTCTACAACACAATCTGTGCCCTCTACCTCCACACACAGTCATACAGCTCTCTACTAGACCTCTACAAAGCTAATCTGAACAAATCGTTCTATAGTGCTTTAGATCCCATTCATACACCGACGGGATACACATCAGAAGCAATGAGGGATTCAATGTCTTCACAGGGACACTTCAACATGTGACTGTATAGGGGTGGAATCGAACCACCAACTCTCGCACTAGAGGACGACTGCTCTAACCACTCAGCCACAGCTGCACCCGCAGTAATAACAATAGTGTCAGGGCTTTCACTTCTGTGAACACAAGCCAGCGAGGATGATCAGGCTGTACATTTAAAATATGTTTAAGTCTCCAGATAGCGCTGTGCTGCCAAAAGCTCCTTTTGTTTTTAATGCCACCTGAAACGGAGCCAAGTCGCTACGCTTCACTTATAACGGCCTTAGGAAATAAAGTAGGTCAACTCACCGCCCTTCGTCGTGAGAGCAAAAAAGGAAAATTTCAAGATGGCTAAAATTTATGCGTTGTTTTACGGCCTTCTTCGCTGCAGCTCAACGCTCGGCGTGGAGTGAGGGGAAAATAAATTGTTGTGTTGACATGTGAACCGTGAGTCTGCAGCAAAATGCTTGAACATGAGCCCCAGTCGAGCCGCTCCACACAGTTGGAAATGCATTTGAACCTGTGCTTCATTGGATAATTAGCTTTGGCAGAGTTGGTCGTTTTCTTAACCTTATTATTATTATTTTTTTTTTATATAACTTGGTTAGAAAAAAAAGGTAACAGAATCATTAGATGCGTGTGTGTGTGTGTTTCCCCTAACACCACGATGCCGCTGAGCATTTATCAAGTGCGTTCTTCAAATTAATCGTGGCGGTTTCAGCTGAATGAGGGCAGAGCACAGCTCATTTATTTATGTGGATCTGATTTCAGAGGACGGTTCATGGATCTGAACCGAGACGATTTCAGTCATAAGCTAATTTCTCTAAAATAAATAAATAAATAAATAAATCGCCCTGATGCTGCCACAACTTAACCTCGCTTAGTCCACAGGGCCTGCGTTGCCTGGTGTGGAGACGGACCTAAATTTTATTTTAGAGGATCAAACAAAACGTGACTAAACTTAAAAAAAGTTTAACACTCCTTAAAGGAATGAATATCAGCCATGTGGCTAATGCCAGAGTTTTAGATAAAAATGGTCTTGTGGAACCGTTCTGTTTAAATATAAAGAAAATAAAAACTTATCTTACCTTCAAATCCTAAGATGTCTTGCTCAAAGTATGTGATGGAGTTACTTTTACTTGTAGTACCACACCAATTTTAGCTCAACATCAGTAAAAAAAAAAAACACATTTATAGCCATTTTTGTTTTACTAATATTGATTAGCTGTGGCCACGGTATTGAATTGGATCAACTCCAAAAGTTAAATAAAGTTAAATCGAGTTGTACCAGTTAAAAATGTTAAAGTTTGTCCAATGATTCATGAGAAAATTTTACTAACAGCCAAACAGCGTTTGTTATCAGTTATTGCTAATGTTCGGAGCAAAAACCTCACACACGTAGTATAACTGAGTATGTTTTGCAAGTGACTCTTAGATACAACCACACCAAATATTAGCACAATATCTGTAAAAGTGTCTGAATTAAAGCTCATTTTGTGTTTTATAAGGTCAGGTGGCTGTGGCAGCCATATTTAATCTGGCTTCAAAAGATAAACAGTTGTAGATATATACACAATATTTACTTTGTGCAATTTTCAAGAAATTCTCCCCAGTGGTTCATTAGATATTTTGCTAACAGACACACTGACATGAGCAGAAATGTTATCGGATGCTTTCACCTTTCTATAGTAGGCGATGAACAGTCAAATAAAGAAATACCTTATTATGGAGTCCATGTCTGTTGACTCATCTTCCTGTAAGTGTTTGTAGACGTGTCCAGCCATTCTGGTTCCCTCAATGAGACCGCTGGATATTTTGAGTTTCCCTCTGGAGACGGGTGGAGTTCTGAACAGGTTGGTCTCCCTGCGTGAACGGGATGGACTGAGTGAGAGGGAGCTGCTCCTGCAACCAGAAGGCCCAGAAAATAAATAAATAAATACATTTTTAAAAAAAATCACCGGCTGAACCCAGTTTCATTTAAAGACGTACCAAAGGCCTGAATATCTATGGTTTAAGTGGTACAAATAAATTAAACGTTGTACAAAAGTAACATTATTGAAGCATATGACAGAGACATGCAAATAATTCACACATGAGCATTTTTATTTAAAAACAAACATTAAATCATTTGTCACAGCTAAACAAAACAAAACAAAAAAAAGAGTGGGACTGCAAGCATGCTAACGGGTGTTTTCTGTGCTCGGAGCAAAACGCTAATGTATACGGTTTTATTTTGAGCAACATTCTGAGAACTTAACAGTATTTAAATTTTGTATGCAAATATGTAGTTTTCTTTTAAGTAAACACACTTTTCCTTTAGTTTTTTTTTCCCCCTCCTGCTGACTTGCCGGAGCAGTAAGTTTTAAATAATAAAAGCACACATGTAGCTTCCAGAATGAAAATGTACCCTCTCATGTCGAATTACTTATATTGATGTAAAAAAAAAAAAAAAAAAAAAAAAAAAAAAAGTTAATGATAAATATTTTATAGGGTTAGGACAAGTCAGTGAGTAAATGTGCACAACAGCAAGACAAAATATGCTTCAGCTATAACTTTTCGTCTTATTGAAATTATTTAGTCATTAACCATAAGATTTAGGGATGCACAATATTGGATTTTTGGTCGATATGTTAAAACATATTTGGCCGATAACCGATACTTTATATACTTTCTTTTGTCAGAACATAGCCCTCTTATTTAGGCTTCTTTGCTACAAAAATTGTGTAACAGCTTAAGAGCTGGTGACATATTTAGTAACAGCCATATGATATGCATAGCACTTTAAACTTATATTAAATGAAAAGTGTTAAATATTATTTATTAGCATTAGTCACATGTGATGCTGTCTCACTCGTGGAGGCTTGTTCCAGGTTCCTAGCTGCAGTGTGGGATCCTCTGCATTCTTGTGCATGAAGGACAGCCTTCTTAAGTTCAAAGTTTTTGTCTATCCATTGTGTCGTAAAACTAATCATGCTAATGGGCTAACACTTGATGTCCAAATGTCTGTGGTAAAATTCATCCAAGTGCTATCGGCTGTTAGCTTCTTAATGACGTCGAAAATGACTAACTCGGTAAGGTTACGTTGGAAAAATATCTCAGACTGGGGAAGATGTAGCGAGGCTCAACGTAGTCCAAAAATCTTCGGAATCCCAACATCCTGACAAACGAAAAAAAACCTTCCACACCGTCGACATTTTGAATTTTCCTCTCCGCCGTGAGGTCGGGTAGGCGTGACGTCACGTTGTGCTGCAGGAATCCTTGTCACTGGGTTGTCATACAAAAACAGCACCTTTTTATATCGCAAGTTATTTTGCTGGAATGGCCGATGTCTGATATTGAACTTCAACACTAATATCGGCCGATACCATGCCGATAATATTGTGCATCCCTAATAAGATTGACATAATCAGAATGTTGACTTTTATGAATACATTTTGCTAAGGTAAAGGCCCCATACCCCACCCGCTGACAATGACTTTGAAGTACAAAAATGAGTAGCACTGACTGTGCATTGGCTTCTTGAATGTGTGTCCCATTTGGGCAAATATTTTAATCATCTCATCCTCGTCTGTCTGAGACGCTGTAGTTCAATTCAAGGTGGCGCACCGGCTGCATTGGTCCAAAGATAAACTGTCCAAGATTAAAACCGACCTGGATCCTGCATGTAATCATTGTAAACAAATGCTCTTACACACAAACACATTCTGGACTTGTCCAAAGCTGTGGGGCTATTGTCAATGATACTTTGTGGGATATGTGGAAAAACTGTACCAGTCATTTCATTATTTGGGGCGGCCCATGAGGATGCATCTTTCAGCAAGTACAAGAGGAACATGGATTGATTTTGGCTACCTTCTAGCCAGGAGACTTATTTAAGGATCTGCATCCCCATCATATGAACACTGGATAAAATAAGTTATACATCATATTCATTTAGAAATTATTAGATACACTGTTGGGGAATTTTGGGACACTTGGCAACCATTTGTTTTGTATATTGAAACTGTCAGTGCCAGTTTGATTTATGCGTGCCTGTATGCATGTTGGGGCTGCGGTTTATCAATATACCATTTAATTTACCGTATTATTTTACATCATTAGTGTACATCTTAGATCCTTGTACGGTTTCATTTTATACTTTAATTTAAATTCAGTTTATTTATATAGTGCCAAGTCACAGCACAAGGTCTCTCTTCAGGTCTCTCTTGTAAATGAGTCCTCGAGGCTCAATGGGATTTACCTGTATAAATAAAGGTTGATTGATTTATGTGTAAAACTAAGTTAACAGAAACATCCATACATAAAACTAATTCTTTAACACTATTTATCTGAAAACAGACTGCTTTGAATTTAACTCCATCACAAAACTCTCATCTTGAGCAAGCATGAAGGCGACAGTGGAAAGGAAAAATTCCCTCATGAGGAAGAAACCTTTAGCAGAACCAGGCTCTGGACAAGCGGCCATCTGCTTCAACCAGCTGGGCTTGGTAGGAACAGATACACAATGGCAGGTCAAGAATCACATGTTAAAGATAGAAATGGTATCAAATGGAAAATTACTCAATTTTAGCAAATTATTTAAGGAAATGGGGTCAGTTTGTCCTCCAGTAGTCAAAGCTTAAGGCAGCATGACAAGCCAACCCTAACTACAGGATTTATCAAAAAGGAAAGTCTTAAACTCAGTCTTAAAGCTGGACAAAGTGTCAGCTTCACAGACAGAAACTGGAAGTTGGTTCCACAAGAGAGGAGCCTGATAGCTGAAAGGTCTTCCTCCCATTCGGCTTTTGGAAACTCTAGGAACCATGAGTAAGCCTGCAGTCTGAGAGCGAAGTACTGTTAAGAAAATATGTAACAATAAGATCTTGAATATAAGATGGAGCTAGGTTGTTGAGAGCTTTGTAGGTTAGAAGTTTATTTTTAAGTTTACACTATTTTATATTTTTGCTATTTTTTGGGTGTAACTGGGACCTTGGTACACAATTTTGTTCCACCTCATATACCATGTGATGCAAATGATAATAAAGAAAGAACCTTGAACCTGTACAGCTGATCCGGTATGGGAGGGCTGGGGTAGGATTTTGTTGTATGTTTTTACTGTTGATATACAAAAAAAAAAAAAAAAAAAAAAATCTAATCACTCAATCGTCTTTATGAGCTTAAATGATGAAAGCAAGTAGGTATCTCTGCAGACAAATTTGGAAGGCATATCTGGAGGGCTACGTCTGATTGGACAAAAAAAAAAACAAACAAAAAAGGCTGAACAAAAAAAAACAAGGCGTTTGTGTTAACCACAGACATATTATGTGTATGGTGTTAACCTCTTTGACATTAACGGCGTCTCAGATTCAACATTGGCGGCGTCTCCATAACTTCTCTTTCCGCCTCTCTTAACACAGAATTTCCGGTTACATTTCAAAATAAGAGCATCATAAATGGGTAGTGGGGAGGGCTAAAATGTTTTTTTTTTTTAATAACTAGCCATTACATAAAAAAAAAAAAAAAAAAAAAAAAAAAAAAATCTGTTTTGGTTGTTCAATAATGTGAAAATAGTTACAATCGATTCATAAAGAAAAAAAATAAAGTAACCAAAATAATAATGATATTTAAACTGGCTTTGGGACAAAAGGATTTTACCTTTAACTTCGCATTTTCCTGTTCAACCTTTTAAATCAGTCACTGCAGATGAGTGATTGTCAGTTTCTGTAAGAATTCTGCAACTGGAGCAGGTATTTCTGTTTACTGGTTAACTTCCTCAGCTGTCTCACATTTTAAGGGTCAATCCTACTCCGTGTTTCAGCTCCTTTCATAGATCAGATCTCATAGAAGAACTTCTAAAGAGCACCTTTTGTTTTTAGCTTTTGTTTTGGGCCATGATCTCGTTAAAGGACTCATGATCTTTAATTGAGACCAGACTTTGACAAATAGGAGCAGGTTTCGCTTCAGATGCTTCATATTTCATTGTACCCAGACCAGACTCAAGCCAACCAGAAACGCCCACTATTGGTCTGCAGAGAACCCCTTCTCGATGAAAGGGACTCTCAGTTCTCTCTGACTTGTCACAACACTCCCGGAGGTAGAGTCGTCATGTTTTTGATGATGTAGGAAAACAACAAAGTGACTGGCAGGAATTTGAACTGATATGATTTGGACCAGTTTTTCTTTTTCAAAGTGCCATGTGATGACTTGTTCAGCAAATTGATGCTATATAAAAACAAACAGAACTGAAATGATTTTGTTCCTATTGACGCCATCTGTAAATGATAGATGCTGCGCTAACAATGAGCTTAACCAACAGTCATAAGAGCAGTTCCCATGGCTAAACATCAATTGTACGCCTGCAGCTCAGCTCAAACGTTCCTTTTACTGAACGTTAAACTGTATTTGTTCTACTGTATGAGGTAACACAAAAGTGACCCTTCTATCCCGCTGCTGTCAAATAATGGAAGCCACAGTCTCTCTTTCTAGGCTCTTAAAATTTTCTGAGCACAGTCGGTGGTCGACTTCAAAGCGGATCCCCGGGTGCCTGCAATGGTAAAACGATGACATCAGTTGTGATTCAAAGTTATACTTCATCGTTTCACAATCTGTATTACAAGCTGATGTGAGCACATGTCGCAGGAACATGCTGCGTGTGGGACTGTATGAAACGGACCCAATTTATTATTTTTTTTAACTCGTCACATGCCACAATTTGTTATCTCGAGTTCACCTGATTGTGCTAGTTGTGCAAAATCTGGACATAATTTTGCCTCCAAGCTTGCTTTTGGCTCTCAAATAATTTTTTTCATCATTTGGCATAGCACAGTGTAAATGTGCCGTATGCATGAGTTGATTTGTTTTTATCCCTTTTGTTGCCTGAGTGAAAAAGATATTTATACTCTGAAATGTTCTAGTCTGTTTTT